AATAAATAAATAAATAAATAAATAAATAAATCATCCTACAGGCTCTGACATGTTAGATAAATTTGAAAATGAGGTTTTGAAAAAATCCATCCGTGAGATTGCTCTATACGTCCGTATACCTGCAAAATGACGTAAAACCCTTATAACTTARGGACAATCCYTACAAGTTGACATGWATGCTCACTAGAACACCTAGTAATTGTCATCATTTACCCAGTTAGCTTTGTGGCGTAAATAATATGTTGCCGTCTGTGTGACAATATCCTTTTAAAGTTATAAAAAACTAAACTTTTGTTTGAATTTTTTTTCCTCAGGGTGAGCCAATTTAACAGGGTGAACCTAATGACCAGCGAGAACCTGTCCATCTGCTTCTGGCCCACCCTGATGAGGCCCGACTTCACCACCATGGACGCCCTGACGGCCACGCGCACCTACCAGACAATCATCGAGACCTTCATCCACCAGTGTGCATTCTTCTTCTACAACCAGGCCCTCCTGGACTCCCCCACGGGCCTCCCCGGCTCGCCCACCACCACCCTCAGCGGGAGCTCCGCCTACTCCTGCTACCGCTCCTCGCCCCCGCACACRGCCGCCCACTTCAGCCCGCTGCAGCAGTCTCCGCCCACCACCCCGCAGTCGCCTCTGCAGTCTCTMCTCCCGCCGCTCCACCAGCACCCCCACGCCCACCACCCTCCTGCTGAACAAGAGACACTGTGAGAGACAAATGAAAACCACGTGTGCCCATGATGATGCTGGACCTTATCACTAACACACAAACACACACAAACACACAAAAGAAGAATGAAAAACAAAAACACTTACACCKCTCAGTTTTGATCATGGATAACCTGGGTTATGAAGACAGGAGATGGAATGTGTAAGAAGATTAAAAAATAAAAGAAAAACTGCTGTTTGTGGTTGAAGATGTGTGAAACGTGGCAGGCTCTGAGCGTCCATCATCAACCACCACTTATCCTACACTACCAAGAAATAGACACCTCCAACTCAAGCTGAAAGAGATGATTTGTGGCCACGTTTTTAATTTCTTTAAAACTTTTTTTTTTTTCCCCAAAAGTACTGCCACTGGATTAATGGACCGGTCCTCTGTAGGTCACTCGGGCAGCAGTTTTTGCTCCATCYTAGCAGAGGACCCTCTGTGTCCAAGAAAGGAAGTGGGGGGAGGGGAGGGGGACCACATCCAGGGATGCACTTTAATTATCACATTATTATCTTTTCTTTTAAATACTGTTGTGTGTTTTTAATTAACTTCACAGCTGAAACAGCCATACCCGTTGCCTCAACAAACTTTGTCAGAATCTGAATTTGTTTACATCAAAACTTTTTTTTGTATCCACAAACGTATCTGAAGCACTTTTTTTTGATAGTGTAGTGTTAAATATGAAGAAAAGCCACATTGATTAATTGTCCATACTGTTTGTTTAGTGGCTGATTGCAGGTTTAACCAGATATCTTTTTTTTGTTGTTGTTTTTTGTATAAAAAAAAATTAAGGCAAGAAAATGTCAATCTTTTTATTGGATCCAGGGACGGTCTCATATCAGGTTCAATGGAGAAAACCTGAATCTGCTCACGTTCTGCATTCATCCAGCAATGTGAGAAATTATTTTTATTATTTTGTCTTTCTAGCCGTTTTTCGATCAGAATGGATGTTTAGGGATTTTGTTGTAATAGTTAGGTCGTTGTGTCATCGGAGACCTTTGCCTGCCATCACTGAAGGAGAAACAGTTTTTGAATGTGCAACGTACTCGTCGTACCATAACTAAATTTGCATCATTATCCGGTGTCCATGGGAACCAAATGCTTGAAACGTGATAGGTTGCTGGATGTGTTGCCGTGCTGTCGATCAAACCAAGCTCTTTGTAGTCATGTTATATTAAGAAACCTTTTAACTCGGACGGGTTTCGTATTCTCAATGCGCTGTGCCTGCTAGTCCTGCTAAACGACGAATTGGCCGAGAGAAGTGGCAGAAAGTCTGCGATGCGTTCAGGAAGCATCACTGGTTCTGCTTCGGTCRGTTGCTTTCCTGCTCTTCACTTTCTCGGACAACAAGCAGCACATTTTTTTTGTGGCATCTCTGCTAATGAAGGCCATGAAACTTGATCAATTATACTTAAAAATAAAAAAGAGGAAGTAGTCTGCTTTTTTTTTATATCTGGGGGGTGAAATAATAATAAAAAAAAAAGGCAACCTTGCTCACCAGCTCTGGTGAACTTGTGGTTCTGTTACAGTTTCTGTTTACAGCAACGACCAGAACTGTCAAATCAAATACTTTTAGGAATCATTGATACTCCTGGGATTGTAACGGGTTCAACAGAACTCTTCTCAAACTACACCGAGCTTGAAGTTATAACATTTCCACTGGCGATGAAATAAACCAAACAGCTYTCCTGGGAGGGTGTAAAATTGTGGTGTTGCTTTTTTTTGTTTTTTGTTTTGRTTTTGGCAAAACTTGAGCCAATCAGTGAGCAACAAGTGGGAGTGTGCTACTTCAAAATGGGTGTTTATTTGTATTTTTTGTGGGAGGGAGGGGCGCAACCCTTTAGTCAATGGTAGAATACATTTCTAGTGTGTATTTCAATTATTGGGAGTCGTTTTTTTTACAATTTTTGTGAATGGTTGAAGGCCACCTAAGTTTAGTGCATGATTAAAATAAAAAACAAAAGAACACGTCCAGAAAGGTGGACAGAAGCCTTTAAAAACATAATTAGTACAAAAAAATCCAATAATAATAAAGTGATTTAGCTGAAACATGGAAGTACTGTGCGCCCGGAGCATACAATGAAAACTGACACAAGAATAATGTTTGATGAAGATGAAGGCCTTATGTGAACTGTACAATAGTTAATAAATTAAATCTTGTAAAAATTTCTTGTTTGTTTTCTGTGTTTTTAATGATTAGTTTTTATTTTGGAGACGTAACCTTCAATAAAAGTTTGACGTTAGACACGGGTAAGGTGCATTTTAAAACTAATTAGTAGTAGTTGGAACTAAGATTAAGCTTTTCACAATAATGTAGAAGAAAGAAAGAACAGATCATAAAACTGTCAGGCAACAATAAAGGCTGTTATCTGCTATTTTTCCTGATTTGGCAGCTTAAAAACCAATCAAAACCCAGTGTYTGGAAGGGCCTGCCTACTTCATAAGGCAAACCTTACAATAAGCACAAGCTGAAGCTAAATGTATGTAAATCTGCTGCTTCCCTAATATGTGCATCACTTCTTCCATGCAGAAATAGCTYTACTGTATTAAGCAGGAATTATAGTATTTGAGCACTGATGCATACAGTTCTGTGAAACATCAATTATTCACAGCATATCCGTCCTGAATGYCTGCTCTCTTTCAGGACAGGTTTTTCCTCACAGTATCTGCTGTCTTCTCTCAGTGTGCTGGACATTGTGAAGTCAATGCGCCATCTTGTGGCTGCTTAGATGTAGGGCTGACAAAAAAGGCAGATCATGTCTGGTACGTAAATGTCTGACTTTACAAGTTCGGGGGGTTAAATAAACGATATCAGAAAAAAGTAGAAATACATTAGTTTAAAACAATTTGGTTGCACTAAATTCCAGACAGTGTGTAAGTAAAAAATATTGTTTCAGAAGAATACAAGAAAACAGGCTCTACATTAAAGGTGCATTAAACAATTGTTCCCCCCCTTTTTCTGTATGACTCCCAATGTTTTCTTTCTCAAAGTGCTCATCTGCTGTATTTACCCTTTTCTTCCTTTCTGGGTCATAGGTTGCAGGTGTCCATAATTACTGTGAGCATAAGGGTCAACCTTGAACAGGACTACATAGAGCAYGTGTCTCCATCCTGGTTCTCCTGCATGTGTCTCTGCTCCAACACACCTGATTCAGTGAGCCAATCACCTGCAGAAACCTGTTAATCACCCATGCATTCAAATCAGGTGTGTTGGAGCCAAAAAAAAACCTCTAAAACATGCAATATTTAGACCAGGAAGTTTGTAACATTATTAGATGCTTGGGACTTTTGAACTTTTGTCTTCATTTCAAACTTTTACAAAGAAAAAGACAGACTGTTGCATTATGGGGAATGTAGGAGTCTTTGTTTTACTTCCTAATAGCAGGTTATCACTACTTTAATAATCATTACATTAAATCTGAACATCAGCGTCTTGGTTTTTTTTTTGATATTTCACTTTTCATTTTTATATTTTAACTTTTAACATTTTCAGCGTTGATCATTTGAAATCAAACACATTTTTGTATGAACTTTCAAATAGTTTCATTATAATGACATTTTAGTGATTATTTTCTCTCACTCTGATGATCTTTTCAATTTTTAWAACAAATATTTAAAGCTGATTTGGTTTCTTATCTCTGTACAGTTTAGTTGAGACCAAAACAAACCTGTGGAAAATGACAGAAGTCGTGACWTATGAAAGATAGCTTTATTGCACAAGGTGTTAGAATGATCTTTTTAGTTTTTGCTTTCTTTTCATAGAAAATGTACCTTTGAACACAAGCAATTGCCGTAACAAGCAACTCAAAGAAATGTTCGGGATACCCTCAACATTTTTTTTATGTTTTGATTTTCATACATTTTTTTTCACTCCTCATCAATTTTTCCCTTTTAGCAAGCATGCAATGACTTTTCTGAGGATGAACAAAATACAAAATAATAGTAATAAAAAAGTATAGAGGACAAATGACAACATCAAAAAATACCTTTTTTTAAAAAAAGAGAAAAAAATCAACAAATTAGTATCAAAAACAGAGAGAGAGAGAAAAAAATCTTTTTTATTTATTTATTTTTTTGCCCATTTCAGAAATAAAGTATTTTATTTTTGATAACATTTCAAATTTGAAAGTGGGGCATTTAAACCTTGATGTGTCCCCTGATTTATTCTGAAGAAAATAGTTCTTCATACAAAATCTGTTTTCTGTACAAGATTCAATTTTGAAAACAAACACTGACGAAGATGATGGAGCATGGTTAGGGTGGTGAATTTGTACTTCGGTTTATCTGAGTGCGAGGGGAGGGAAATGACAAAAAGCCGAAATGATTCATGTTTTACAGACCGACTCCAGTCCAGTTATATACACAATACAGTAGCAGTATGTATGACCCAAAAGAGCTGCGAGTCCCTGATTTTTCTTGGCTGAACCACACAGGTCAGATAAACTTGCACTCTTTAGACCCCTGAAACCAAAAATCTGGACAAAGTCCAAACATGTGAACATTACAAATCAAAACAGATCCCCCTCCCCTAACCAAACAAATGAATAAATAATGTAAAAACACAAAACACTATAATAGAAATGCTTTAAAAATAGGCATTCCAATAGGTTCTTGTGTACAACAGAAAAAAAGGAACATTTTTTTACAGTACTTCAGACAGGACAACATCAAKGATATCAATTCTGTGAATGTCATAGAAACTTCTAAACTGAACTCCCTGACATATAAGATCTGTAGACTTTAAATMATTTCACTTCATTCACATCGTGACTGGCATTTGCTCCGCTCCTTTTCTTTGAGGAGCAACGTTTGGCCAAGTGGCTAAAGCCGGATCTGTGAGCCTCCAAACTAGAGGAGGCCTTCAGAAATGAAGTCTGGGACCACTTTGCAGCACAGGAAACATTTAGAGATTGAACGAGACGCTGATTTGACTCCTGAATGTGTTTGAACTGAGCCTAAAACAACAGTTCATAGCTTTTGGAGTGGGGGTTCAGTGAAAAAGTTATGAACAGTAAATATATTGTCTGTTGTAGATAGCTCTTAGAATGAGCTCAGTTGGAAAAAACGAGTTTATTCCTGACAAGATTATGGGCTAAAAACTAGAAAACGAAGCAAAGTGTGTTGTTGCTGTTGCTATCTTAAAACAGTAATGTAATAATGTAATATTAAAAACTTCTAGCAGTTTGTATGAATGCAGTTTTATAAACTTTTACAATCAATTCATTGCAGAGTTGTATGTAATGTTACAGTTTTTTGGAAAAGCGGATAGCATCAGAAGGGTGTATTACAGCCCTGGCGGCCCACCTGTCCTTTCTTTCCTCTCTGCCAGGCTAAGTGTTGCCTGTTTATTTAGAGCCAGCACCAGGAGAGGTATTTTTTTTGCACCACCAGAGATTTGTGCAAAATGAAAAGTGGCTAGCACCTAGCATTAGCAATGTAGCAGTCCACTACTGCAGCATTAGCGCCACTACCCCTCCATGGGATTACAAGTGTTCCTGTTGGCATTAGCAAGTTTTCAGGAGGAAACCCTGCATCAGCTAGCTGTAGCATTTCCGGTGAAGCCTGGAGCCCTTCCTGCCGTGCTACATATGTACTTGGACATTGGAAGTTTTAGGTTCCATGTCAGAAAAATCAACTTAAATGACCCCGCAACYTCAGAATTGCAACTCAAGGAATTGGAGCTTCCTGACCAGCACTTGACCTTAAAACTAATATGGCTGCCTTGCTCATGAAAAGCTGTGATAGGTGCAGTGATAAACTATAGCYCTGACCAACTTATATGAGTAAACATGTTGCTACAATGTTTGAATCCACMATTTTTCACTTGCATTGCTATTCCAAGGTACAGCTGGAACACAGTAAAGTCAGATCTGACGTCATTCCCAGATCCAATTCTGATTTCTGAGGTAAATTAAATGCAACACAACTGACGTCATAAAATAGCAACAAATGCCATAAAACAATTAAGATTCTAGTTTTTTCAGCAATCCACATTGGTTTCATTCCCYCTCAGCGCAGTCCCATTTAAACTCCCATTTCTGTAAACAACAGGTAAGATATTTACTGTTCAAAATCTTCCCACAGAACCTCATTTCAAAAAACCCTGAACTGTTTCTTTCACCGAAGGGTCCTGATTGTTTCCATCAAACACACCAAGAAGGCGTCACAGCCCAGGGATGATGTAATCCTTTAATCCAGCTTCTCCTCTACAAGCTGGCCATTTTACAGTAATATACAGAATATCTCACATATATATTAAACATTTTCCTTTCTCAAGTCCAACAACTTCTAAATTCCTCTTCTTCTTTTTAAAATTTCATGATTGCGCGATTGTCTCATTGTTAAAATTTGACCATAACGTTAAATTGCTGTACATACTACCACGCTTGTCGTAGTACATACAATTTATACTTTGTCATATTTACTTTTTCACTTAAATGTCAGTTAATATACCTACATAGAAATATATATGTAAAATTCTTTATAATACCAAATATTCTCTATTTGCCATGTGAGAAGTTACATCTGGGTTGTAGGGGTTGTGATGGTTCAGCGCGTTTAGCTGTGCAGAGATGAGTGGAGAGAAATCTGTGTGGAAATTCGACGTCTGTGGAAGTGAACCTGAACTTTTTGGAATCACGTCTGCTAATAACAATTTGGGGACTTTGAGAGACACAAAAGAGGGCGAGAGAAACAAGGAACTTAACTGGAAGTCTTGCAAAGTGACAAAAATAAAACTATGGAGGACAGTAAATGTAAGTGTGTGTGTGTGTGTGTGTGTGTATGTGTGTGCGTGTTTATGAGACGGGATGGCCACACAGCTTCATACTGGCTCTTGTAGTCTTCATTGTCATGAACACAGAGCTTTATAAGTTCTTCGGTTACAGTCAGTATTTCTAAATGACCACTGAAATCACATTCTTTTTTTATTTATATATTTTTGCTGTGTCTCCTGCAGGAATTGAGTGGAGCTGAGCACCAGCCGGCTGGAACTGTTAGTTGAAGTTAGTAGTTCGTTCTTGTGAACATGAAAAGTAGGGTTAGCTGGGTCTCTGTCTGGGATGCGGGGACACCCCTCACTTCCTGTGGAGGATACAACAGGAAGCTGGGCAGTCCACCATAAGTTTGGTTTAAAGAAAGATGCCCATTCTGGCCCAGACTTATGAGTACCAGAGAGCGGTGCTGGCTGAGGAGCGGGACAGCGAAGCGAGTCTGTGCAGGGGACGGGGGGGCTACACCAACGTGTACGACTTGGAGTAGGCCCCCACGCTCTGTTTCTGCAGTCTCCCCAGAGCGGAGGAGCTGCTCTCTAGCAGCGAGTCTCTGGAGCCCCCCACCTTGTTGCTGTTGGTGGGGTTGCTGCTCGTGCTGGAAGTGGAAGCTGTCGCCGTGTTGCTGGAGCTGGGCATGGTGAGAGTCCTCTGCGGCAGGGTGGCGGTGCCTGAGCTCGCGCCCAGGCTGCCCAGCCCGGAGTGGCCCAGCGTCAGGGCCTGCTGCTTGGAAGGGTCAAGAGTCTTGTGACGGCCCTGGGTGTGATACGCCCGCTGCGTCAGGCTGCGGATCGAGGCTTCCCGCGGTGGCACAGCCGGGCACGGGTCATGCAGGTCCCCTTGCTTACGGAAGAATGGGTCTGCCTTCATGTAGAGCGGTAGATTGCAGAATTCACCTGTAAAGACAAGCAGATGAGTCAAAACAGGAAAATGTCGTTTGTTCCAGAGTTATTATAGTTAACTAAAACTAACTAAATAATGAAAACTGAAATTGAAAAAAAACATTTTAGTTAACTAAACTAAAAACTGTAATAAAATCAGAAAACGATAACTAATTAAATCTGTATAATCATTTTACAAAACTAACTAAAACTAACTGAAATTATAGATAGAATATCCTTAGTTTTAGTGTTTCTCAAATTATTTTGAGACGTGGATCTCCTAAAATAATCTCCCAAGTTTTTAGTTGGCAAAATTGAGTTACACAATTATTTTAGGATGGTGTCGCTATATTAGACTGCTTTAACTAGCAACCAAATAGCTGTTGGTTAGTTAACTCACAGGAACATCACAAGATCGAGTATGCATTGGCAAATATGTTTATCAAACTATAAAAATACTGGTACCACTTTACAATAAGACTCCCCTTATAGATGGCTTATAAATAGTTATTAATTCATCTGTAAACACTACGGATCTTTAAGAAGTGTTTATTATGCATTAAAGAAACAAAACTGTCTGGTTTCTTGCCAAAGAGTGAGCCAAATCTGTTCATGTTCTTATTACATCTAAAGGTGCTACATATATTAAACATTTCAGACCAGGTTTCTACCTTGTAAGCACAATAATGTATTGGAATAATAATGCAATAATACAATACAATATTATATGTAAAATACACGTTWACAATACTTTATTGTACTTACAACATAGAAACCTAGTCTGAAATGTTTAATGTAGCAGCTTTACATGTAACATGAACAGATTTGGCTCACTATTTGGCAATAAACCAGACAGTTTTGTCTCTTTCTCGTCCTTAATTAATGCATAATAAACACTTCTTAATAATTTGTAAAGTGTTTACAGATAAATTAATAACCTATCTATAAAACATTTATAAGCCCTCTCTATAAGGGGAGACGTACCAAAAAACTAATACTAGAACTAATAAAAACTAAACTAAAACTAAGCATTAAAAATGCAATAATATCTAATAAAAACTAGCAAATCCACTGTAAAAACTAATTAAAACTAACTGAATTAAAAGAAAAAAAGTCAAAACGAAATAAAACTGAACTATAATGAAAAATCAAAACTATTATAACCTTGGTTTGCTCTCAGGTTTGGAAAATGTTGTGAACCAGGCATTAGAAAAGATGATGATTTAGCTGTAATATGATGTGACATTTCATGGAAAAAGCGAGCACAAATCAAGAAAAACATTTAATGTTCTGTGTGWCTGTACGTACTTTTGTTAGCACGGTGGGGAATGGGCACAGCCACATTTTTACCCCGGTCATAGTCCTGTGGTTTGGGTGGGGATGCGGTGAAGCGGCAGATGCCCGGTTCAGACGGCGTGCTGAGGGAGGTCATGCTTTCTGCCGGGTCGTTGGTGCCTGTGGTCATTTGGTCYGAGGAGCTGTCGGAGATGAAGCACTCGGTGATGGTGAACTTGGCGTGCTGCAGGTGCTCCTCCAGCTTGGCGTGCTCGTAAGCTCTGGCCAACTCCTCGTAAGTGGACGAGGCGCTCTCTGTTGACACCATGCTGTTGCGGCCCTTATCTGGAAAAAACAAAGAAAGGTTGTGTCTGCGTTCAGAATGCAGTCAATTGAACATGATACCAAACAGCTGCCAAATGACAGAAGATTTTCAGAGTAAGACTTGTCATTTCTCATCATAAAAATATTATAGTTTATAGCATTGATTGATAAGAGTTCCTTCAAGGACGGCTAGGGTTTTCATTTTTACAGACATTTATTTTTATTGTCTCTAAAGTGTATCTGAATCTATGTTTGATTTTTTTATATCTATTTATCCATTTTAAAAGGTGTTTCTTCATATTAAAAGTAGGAAGTAAAGTATTCGGGGGTCACTGATGATGGCTGGTGTCGACCCACCTGTGTCTTGGGAGAGGCTGGCGCTGTAGCTGTCACTCTCCGTTGCTGTGATGCCATGAGAGCCCATGGTCCTCCAGTCCGAGGTCAGGGTCCGTGCCGAGGCCGTGGACTGGCTCTGACACGGTCTGCTCAGCGTCCATTGGCTGGAGTATCTGTTCCTGGAGCTGTGAGCTGATTTAATGCTCTTCCTGGACACGGGGTCTACGAGGGAGTGGGGGTACAACGATGACAGAGAACAGCTCAGTTAAAACACAGGTGCTTTACTGACGTTCTTCAACAGGTGTGCCGATAAACTCACTTGTACCCGGGCGGATGTCGGACATGTCGATCAGAGGCCCTGAATTCTGGATGAGAGCTTGGTGATGCAGAGACACTCCTGTGCAGAAGTTCTGTGGGTTCACTGATTGGCTGAATTCGGTGTCAGTCACTGGCACCGCCGCTTTGTCCTCTCCTGTTGCAGGCACACACACACATGAGGAAACACACTTTTCTTCTTTAAATGTGCTATAAACAGGCTTGGACAGATGGTATTGTGGTACACCTTGGTATTAAAATATGTTGACGGTATTTAAAAATTATGARGGCATATTAACCTAGTCACATGACCTATTTAAATGTCTCTAGCCATAAAGATACGCCTTCTCCGAGARTCTGTTGCCATTTGTGTCACAAGTAGAACCTTCAAACTTTACACGAGTTTTTAAAAAGTGTTGATAGGCCACATAAAACCCGATTTAGGGTAAATAGTATTCACCACTTGTTTTCATGATTGTCCTATTGCTCATTGCAGCGGCAGCAGGAAACACGGTAATCTCATGGAAAAAACACCTCAATCCACTGTCAGTCTCATCCTTCTCTCGAGTCAAAAAAATACCTCAACTTCCTTTCTGACTGAGACCCAAAGTTACAGATCATACACCCCTAAAGCCCCGCCCCTTTCCTCCCTGCTTCAGTATTATCGAAAGATATGTTGGTATGAAAAAGATCAATACGTCCCAACCTTAATCTCCAAATGACCCTCTAAGAGCTGAAAAACAATGTTAAAAATGTACCTATCTGCTTGATGCCTTCCTTGTCCTCGATGAGGAGCTGAACACGAGGGATGTCGATGTGGAGCCTCGGACCTTGAGGAGGGCCCTTCACAGGTGTGTCTATGCTGCGGTTGTTCTTGCTGCACACGCACAGTAATAACACAGAATAAACCACATGTCCTACATAAGAAAGGACAAAAATCGACAATAATTCTCTCTAACCTGATCAGCATCTCAGCCAGGCTTTTTGCATCTATAAAAAGACAAGATCTTCATTAGAATATGGTTGGGTCTGAGTATATTCTTTAAAACTTATCACTCTGTTGTAAAATTCTGAGAGTTTTTTTTATTTATTTATTTATTTATTTATTTTTTGCTTTTCCTTCTCACCTCTGAGTCGTTTAAGCCTCTTCTCTTTGCGTTTCTTGCGGATAATAAAAAGCAAAGCCACGCCTAGAGTGACCAGGATGACTGGAGAGCCAATAGAAAACAGTTTTTTCACATCATCACCCTCTCCACGAGCTGATTTAATCGGAGGGATTGTACCTGATAAGAAAAAAAATCAATTTAAATTTGCTAACATCTGTTAAATCTTTAGACTAAATTCATCTTATGATACATAAAAAAAATTAATTTTTCATCATAGCCTGCAGGACAATAAAAACAATAAAAATAAAATTAAATAAGTCAGATAAAATTAGAAATAATTCCACCGCTCTTCTCCTTGTCCTCTCCCTCTCCTGCCTGCTCTGTTATTCGCAGCAGACACCCCCGCCCCGCGCACACACACACGCACGCATCCCCCCGAAATTAAATTTCTGACAGTGATCATGAAGCAGTGTGGCTATAATTCTTCACTTCACCATCTGTGTCGCAGTTTTACATCTCCAAAATGAGCGTACACATGGGTCAGAGCTGGTGTGAGGCACCGCACATTTTCACGTCAAGTTTGGATTTTATAAATCACAACTTTTGCGTAAAAAGTGGCGTACGCAAGTTTCTGGGCTGATATTGCGCGTATGCCAGTTTTATAAATCCGACCTCTGGGTCGGATTTGAAAAAAATGGATTTGTCAAGTTCAGACCGATGTAGGTCGTGTTTGCCTGCAGTGTGAACGTAGCCCCAAAGCTGATGAGTTGTAGATGTACATCTAAATATTACTTTCAATGAAATCCATCCTGTGTTTCGCTAGATAATTTGCTAACAGACACCACGATGGTAGATGATATTTGACCAGAGAAGCTAAATTAAGAGAAGTAGGATCCACTCACTGCCGTCATAGTCAGTTGTAGCAAACTGGGAGGTCTGATTTCCACAGCCGGCGCTGTTGCACGCCTTCATTTTGAGTTCGTACCAYGTGGCCTCGCGTAACTCGCTGAGGAACAGCTGATTGGTGGAGTTGGCCTTGAGGCTCTGCCAGGCCCAGGTGCCTTTGGGCCTGAAGTCCAGCATGAGGTCAGTGATGGGGCATCCGCCGCTGGTCCAGCCCTGTAGGTTGAGTCCTGCGTGAGTGGAGTTGATGTGGGTGAGCAGCGGCTGGTCCTTGTTGAAAACTGGTTCTGGAGATGGAAAAACAAAAACAAATGTAAATCAAATCAAAGAGATTTATTTTTAATTAAAATGAGAAACTGCCTCCAGCACTCACCTCTCCCGTGCGTCTTTGCCTCGATGATCTCACTGATGCGTCCTGAACCCACGCTGTTCTTAGCGGCCAACTTGACTTTGTACCATGTTCCACAGCGGAGATTGTCCAGCCTGAAGGAACGTTCACTGGAGCTGATGAACACATCTCTCCACTCCTCGGTGTTGTCCACAGAATACTGCAGCACAAATCCTGCAGTCACACAGAACAGATTTCTGTGAAAAAAAAAACTTCACTTTTTAAATTTGGAGATGAAACTACAAATGCTGTCCACCAGGGGGCGACAAATACCATATATTTTTTTGTCCACTGAAGTTTGATTCTTTATGCAAAACAAGCTGGTTGTGCATGAACATTCATGAAAATGACAGCAAAAGGGTGGAAAATACAAAAAATATTTATATTTTAGAAAATCCTGTTGTGTAACAAGATTAGTTTTCTTCTGCAGCTGCGAGGCAGGCAGAGTGAGTAAAATACCTCGGATGGAGCTCCCTCCGTTGTCTCCAGGGATCCAAGCCAGGGTGATGGAGGAGGTGGAGGTGGTGGAAACGGTCAGACGAGGCTGGTCAGGAGGAACTGCACCAACACACACTGAGAGTCAACGACAGAGCCCACGACGCGCCCGTCAGTCAAACAAACAGGCTTCTCCTTACCCTGCACCACCAGGTTGACTATGATGGTGTCGAAGCCCAACGTGTTCGTCGCTGTGCAGGTGTAGTACCCAGAATCCTCTGCTTTGACTGAGCGCAGCACCAGCGTGCCGTTGGATAAGATCTGCCTCTGGACGTCGGCTGTCACGGGGACGGCAGAGTCCTCGCTGATTAGAAACAGACAAACAAGCTGCAGTGAGCGTCTTGATGGTTACCTGTTGGAGTCACAGCTCCAGAGTAGTGCACGAAGAGCTCCAACCTTTCTTTGGTCCATTTAATTGTGGGGGTGGGCTCCCCCACCGAGCTGCAGGGCAGACGCACTTCCTTCATCCATGGGGTGGTAACCGTGCCCCCAAACGACAGGATCTTAGCTGGCACTGAACAGAACAACACAGAATATCCAGGGGTCAACTTAAACCCCTGACACGCACTGAAGTGGTAATAAAAACAGCACCTTTTCCACACGCCAGGTTGTCTGTTTCTGCWTTTTGCTGTATGAGTAGCCTAAACAGCCTGAGGGCAAAGAGGCTGAAGAAGGGAAACATGTAGCGAGGAGTTTTGATGTTGCCCTCCCTTCCCCTTCTCCTAGGTTTAGTTTATCTTTACTCCATAGATCCTCCTTTTCATTGATTCCTGCCTGCTTCCTTCTTCCCCAGGGGTCATTTTWCTGAATAGGCCTGTTCATCACCACATAATTAACAACAGCAACAGAGCCACAACTCAATCAATACTACAGCTGTCAATCAATAGCAGGGAAACTAGAAAGAGAGAGAGGCAGGAGAGTTCCTGTCCGTCTTTAGAGCGGGGTTCTCTCTACCCTCCTCCTCAGCCCGCAGGCTCGCTCCAAGCACCCACCTTTCCCAGCAGGCTCCACGGTGACCTTTGAGCTGATGTTGCCTCGGCCGGCGGTCGTCACGGCCGCGGACCAAATGTGGTACTGTTTGCCACGGGTGAGGTGCGTGATGCGATAGAAGAGCATCTCCGGGTTGGCCTCGTACTCGCTGGGCGCCTGTGAAAGCAAACACGCCGCCTCACGTTAGCGAGCGCCGGCAACACGTCGACAAGACAGATGTGGCGGAGAGACAGAATGTTTATACAGTGATGTTTAGAGCAATGCATGAATGGAACTCACTACAGCATAGCATTAAACAAAGTACTGCTTACAGTTTTAGGAAGCAACTGAAAACTTACTATAAACATGATTTATCTTTTGGATAGATGTATGCGCGTATTTATAAATATAGAGATGCTATTGTGTTTTTATGTATTAGGACTAAGTAGATTAAGTT